AATTGTCTGCTCGCTTAGCACGGGTTTTATATATTCTCTGCTCTGCAAGTGTATTTGCATCAATGGATGACTGTGTTACTTACCGCGCGTTGACACGTCGTTTTTCAAGGATTCGGTTTTGTTCGACCTTTGTATTGAACTCATGTAAAATAACGAAAAAATGCATATGGGGGTATTTTTACGCGACAATGTTATGTAGGTTTATAAGGTATACAGACTTCGAGTCGTCTGTCATTGAAAATTGCCTCTTATCTACCAGTTTAGCTACTCGTTGATCAGAGGAATTTCCGTCATGCATCCGAGCAAAAAGAACTATGGGAACCAAGTAGATACTTTTATTCCAAAAACTGTACCGTTGTTTCAATAGTCACCTCGTAATTGTTAGTCTCTTGCACGGAGTAAATATTGTGTAGAAAAATTAGTCCCTGGTTCGTGACTAAACAATGAAAATGTGTAGTCAACATTTTGCTATTTTTCATAGAATAAACTCTTTTTCAATCTATAAGGTGAACTATTGTAAAATAAAAGCGGTAACAGGAAGCTCCTACTACAAAAAACAAGTTACGAAGAAAATGAAGTTTTACGATCCACGCCCATCAGCAACGATAGGTCCTGCTGCACCGTTATTGATGATGATGAAATTCAATGGACATGTTTAAATTTAAAGGACACGTTAGGTAATTTTTTTTTTTTTTTTTTTTTCACAACGTACTTCTCCTTTTTGTTCCTTTTTTTTAAGGAAATATTACTTTCAAAGTTTTTTTAAGAGCAGTGGGCCTTTACAAACATAACACAGGTCAAAAGTATGCATCTGGAGCGTTTTTTTTTTTATGGCTGAAAATTTTTTATATTGTTGCTATGTATTTTAACTAGTTAATGCTTAAGAGAAATAAATTATTGTTTATTTACAAAAATAAAAATTTTATTAGTCATTTATTACCTTATTTTGTGATTTTGATTGTAATTTATATTTAACATTTTCCATTGAAGGAAAATAATGTTTAAATTGGTCGAGATTGTACACATAAAAACTTGTAAGCATCTAAATTCTGTGAAAAACAATAAAGTGGATATTTTTATTATTAGTTGAGTGCAATATTGAGAATTACAGAAAAATTTATCCAAAACGAAGACTCGTATTTTCGATATTTCGACCAAGTTTTGGTACTTTTTATAGTTAAAAAAATCTGCTTCGCTATCATTTCTTCTCTACTTATACTTATATGAATCCGTTGTTTTCTGNAAAAAAAAAAAAAAAAAAAAAAAAAAAAAAAAAAAAAAAAAAAAAAAAAAAAAAAAAAGAACAATGTACAAAGTCGACTTTGTTGTTCGACCTTGGTTTTGTCATGGAGCCTCGAAAAGCTGGGAAAAGAAAAGAAACGCACCACCACCATGCATCATAATAATACGGGACGACAATCTCTGCAGCAGCTGCCATGAATAAGGATGGAAAATTAGGTGCTCCGTACCAGCTCCACCGCGTATACATGTATACGTACACGTGTCACACATGCACGGGTTGTTTCTTCTTCTTTTCTTGGTGACGGTCATATTTCCGCGTCGGTTTTGATGTACACCCAAGTGGAAGAAATAAGGGAGCCCTACTACTTGCTTTGATCGTCCGTGACATTGCAGCATCGGAAATATCGGTGATCTACAATGCATGTGGCTGCAACATCATCCACACCACACATGTATATATAGGAGAGAGGAAACAAAATGTACGTACATATTGCGACGACTGCAAGTACACGTACGTGCCTTTATCTTCCAAGACACAGTATCGTACGCGTGCAAGACTTCTCTTTTTGTTCCCTATATAATACTATGGGCTGTAATAACATAATACGATGCTGGAAGACTTAATACCTTATACACCGAGGAGGAGTCCGATCTGAGATCGTATATATACACGTGTATCTACGTGTTTGTATGACGGTCGCTGCGCCCAAAATTCAATGGCAGCTGCGAGTACACTTGCGTATATTATATAGACGTACTTATACGAGTTAGTAGGTAAAACGTGCTCGTGTGTAATTATAGTACATCATCCACTGCACGAAGTTAACTTTATTTCAAATTTGTATACAACTGTATATACATAGATGTTTAAGCTTCGGCGTGGGTGCAGTGTGTACATCCATGTGGGCATTCAACTGCGAGCAAATATACGGGGATCGTGTTCATATGGGATTAAAAAAAAAAAAAAATGATAAAAATATACCCAACAAGGAAACAAAAAATAATAAACGCTTTACGATTCTTTTCAACTGAACGATCATTCGGCTTTCTCAAGAGCGTAGCTGTGATTTTACGGACATGGTTGATTGGAAAAACAATTATTTAATCAATTTTTTTTTTCTTTTTTTTACAACGCGACTATTCAATAGAAATGCCTAGTATTTTTCATACCAATCATCTAATTGTCTTAAACGTTGCAACCACTTTGTTACAGCGCGAATTTAATGCATCAACCCGCACATCACAGCCTTCGTTTCGCGTATTAACTTCAGCACTAATCTCACAGTCCCGAAACCCACGTCGAATCGATTTTTTTTTCCCAATGCAATTTCTTCTCTTGAAATAACTGTAACTACCTATGCTACAGCGAAGGTCCCACAGAGACGGGATATCACAGGATCTATTAAAAGTTTTCTCCGTCCTTCAAAGCAAACGAAATCGAAGAATCGATTCTGCGGTCAAATTCACCCAGCTCTCGAAGCACCGGCGTCAAAGAAACTCGGTTAATTAAAAAAAAAAAAAAAAAAATGTGCTAGAAAACCTAGATTGTGACTTATACATATGAATATGGTAAAGAGCCATTCTAAGCGTAGTGGGCAATTTTTTTTACTACCTATTACCAAAGCTGATGGAATAAAAAAAAAGGTATAGATACGTAAGTATCCCCGCAGAAAGTTGTCGTTACAGCTGAAAAGCACAAGCCGACGCAAGGGACTGGAAATGTCAATTACAACTTTTAATTTACGTTCCATACCCGCTGATTACTACAGAGTCTGCTCTACAAAGTTGCAAAAGCACCGAAGCCCTTTTTTTTTTTTGGCCGGGACATCAAAGGCGCGTTTTTGGATGACCAACCGTGTAATTTCCCCAACGCGGTTTTCCAATGTTTTTACGTGAAAGGGCGTACTTGCCGTGAAAACAAAAAATTAATGTGGTGAGTATAACATATACAGGTCACCGTGAGAGCTTTTCAAGTACAACGGAGCATCAAAGTATCGGCGAAAAGCACCACTAGGGGCTCTACTGTACACAACTTTGAAACTAAGAAGAAAAAATGCGAAAGAACAAGTGCATCCTCGCTGGATTACAATACAAAGTTGAATTTCGGCATTAAAAATGCAGTAGACAGCTCCAATATTAAATACAAGACGTATAAGCAGAGGGAGGGAGATAAACGGTGTCTCGGAGTTTTATCAACTTTCAAGACACGAGTATGTATGGTTTGAGCCGATGGAGCGCCACGGCAGGACAGTAGCGTGCGATCAATGCATGAATGGCCTGATGCCGGGAGTATAAAAGGTACAGCCCCCTCCCCGAGCTGGATACGGGTGCGGGGGACTGCTTGGCTTCCAGGATACACCCTCGACCTTCGGGCCGCGGGCTGTATACCAACACGTGACCCCTTTATTTTTTTTTTTGTAATTGAAAGGTTTTTTTTTTAACTCGCAGCTGTTGAACTGACAGGGACATGTTTTTCGATTATTGATGGACTCGGGGAGGGTTTGGATTTTCAATAAATTAGATAGTTGATGGAAGGATTTTGGGGCTCGTTGGAGTAGTGTGTGGTACAGATAAAAATGACGGATCGCTTTTAGGGAGGGGCGTGATTTCTTTTTAAAAAAGTTTAAAATAATTTACGCGCGTGATAAAATAAATTAAATATAATACCTGTTACTGCAAAGTGAATATATAAGGGTCGAAATTTGCGCGTAAGTATTAATAAGCTTTGGAAAATTTTTTTAATTATTACAATATATTTTTAAATGGCACGATGCTATTGAATTTTGAATAAAAATGGGCCAATTGATGTAACGCGTGCAGATTCATGTATAATGACAAAAAAGCCAAGTATTTAATTCGTAAGCCTAAATATACTGTGGACATGATTTAAGATAAGTCGGGCTTACCCTTTTAACACCACAGCATACAAACGAAGGTAAAAAGAGTAGAGCTTTTTTAGAATAAACAAAAATGCCAATGAAAAAAAAAAAAAATAACTATGGTTTGATACACTGCACAAAAGACGCATCTCTTCCAATCGCGGCACAAATTCCAACAACAACAAAACCATCAGGCATACATAGATATATACACCACCCAGTTGAAAAGCCCAATCACGCGCAACACACGTCCACCGTTCAATCGCACTTTCAACGATAAAAACCAGCGGCTCGCAATAGACGCTCGCAAAGAAAAGGAGAGAAAAAAAAAACAATAACAACCTCCGACAACAAAACGGATCCCACAACAGCGGCACCCTCCTCTCTCTCTCTCGCTCTCAATCGAATTAAATGCTAATCGCAAAGCGAGCGAACAAAAAAAAAGAGGGCCCTTTCACGCACCGTACGACCAATTAGCCGAGCGGCCGAGCAAAAACGAGGAGAATCCCCCGAGGATGTTATACTGAGGATGTACTTGTATCGCATAAAAAAAAAGCTCGCCTCGTGTTCGGTTGGCCAACTCTCGCTTACGTATCAAGAATTTTTCGCCCAATTAAACGAGAGACGCGCCGCAAAACGAGCGAGTAATATGTTGGAAAAAAAAAAAAGCACAACGACCCCCCTATCCGTCTACATTTTTCCGCCTCGATGTATAGGTGTACAAAGATAACAATAATTCCTCTCCAATGGGCGTCTCGTGTGACACAGTCCGATGAAAAAAAAAAAAAAAAAAAAAAAAAAGAGTAAGTACACGATATCTGTGCAAGGTGAGAGAGACTCGCGATGTGAAAGATCAGACACACAACAATCGAGACTCACCGACGGCGTACTTGGTGGTCCTCGTAGTCGTCCACATCTTAGCTGACCGGCTACATGTTTTTTTTTTTTTTTCCTTCCCTACACCACACCGGTGAGTACAAGCAACACCATACCCACCCCGGATATTTCACAACAAACACCTTGTGTCGGATGAGCACTCACACCCACGCACCTATCGCAAAATATTATTCATTGGGGGGGTGAGAGATAACAATATCCTCCCTCACGACACTCGCGTATAAAAAAAGATGACAAATCACCACTAGCCGATCATGTCGTTTGTTCCCCGGAGAATAAAAGCTCCGGAAAAAAGGTAAAAAAAAAAAAAATAAAACGACAAACAAGGGAGAAATTGGCAACGTTACGGGGTGGAGAAGCCCGAGGAGCCGACTGGCACGAGCCGCGCGCCGCGGAAGCCGGGAAGCCGGCGCTACGCACGACCAAGAGAGAAAAGAGAATCCGCGCGCGCACGACGGACCGGCGCGTGGGAGTTACCCAAGGTTTTATGTATGTGTGTGTGTGTGCGTGTGTGTGTGTGTGTGTGTACACGAGCCGAGCACCCCCGTTGACAGAGGGAAGGTTTTCCACCCCCCAACCCCTATGCGTATGGACAAGGGGTGCTTGTGAAAACGGGTCGATGGGAGTCAAACATCCTCGGTTACGTGTATATACACCTGTAGGTATACCTGTGGGCCATCATGTCCCTGTTGGGATGGTTAATTACTCCGTAAACTGGGATAAGTCGTCGAGGATGGACGAAAATTCACGTTTACGAGAGATGAAACAAAAATAAATACTTATATGTACAGATGTTGCGAGGAGTACGCCGGATGAGCCGGCAACTCCGAGTTCTGTACCGCGGGCTTATCGGGGCTGGATAAATTTCGGCTTGAGCTTTCGCGAAAATCGAGATGTGATTGGTTTTTTTTTTTTTTTTTTTTTTTTGGGTGATACATTCGTGTAGGTGTTAGTTTCAACTCAAGGATTACATATTGATGTTTCGTTTATCAGTGGGAAGAACAAAAAACGTTATAGGTAAGTTGTGTGAGCGACAATTGTTTCTTTCGCTTGGTACGAGAGGTGATGGGATTCATATGTACTTATGGCTGGATCGTAAATGAAAAACAAGGCTGTTTCTTTCAAGTCAAATCAGTACTGTTGTATTTCAACAAAATTACTTGAGGACCAATGCTTGAGTGAAACAAAACAAAATGCGCTTCAAACAGAGTAATGATCGTTCAATTTGCTTATTATTTATAAAATTACACTCTCCCTGAGTCAACAAGAGGTCCATTGTAGAAACTTATGTCGAACCCACTCGCCGTCAAGGTGAGAACGTCCAACAGTTTTTCACAGTCGAATTAATACTAGGCTTACACAAGAGGACAATGATAAACCTAATAAAAGGATAAGGACACTCGAAACTCGCGTCCCTCACTTGGATCGATTAAAAATTTTTATTTACAGTTTCTGTGTACTTTAAGTAGTCTAATCTTTAAGTTGTCTCGTTCGTATGGTAAATATATCAGCAGTGACGATCAGGCAGCGATTTTTAAAACGGTCGATCGCGCTTTGCTCGGTGAATTTTTTTTTGAGTGTTTACCTTCGGAGATAAGCGTCTCACAATGCAGACTAGATTCGGTGCTACATGACAGGTGCTTGCCGAGACTTGCGCAACGAGCGTACACATTATAATCACCTTGTGTTGAGCTCCCATGACTTTTTAGAAATTGATCGGCTTGCCACAGTATGCTGACAAGTGTGCCTCCCTTAGAGCTTCTGCACAGGTCTGAGAAGAAATTTAAAAAAAAGTTTTTTTTATTCACTCTGCATCGTTTTTCACAGACAGTGAACATAGAGTAAGAATTTGGCAAAAGAACTAGTATTTTCAACAATATTGTGGTGCTCAAGTTTTTAAATGAGAATTAAGTTCTTAGTACATGCTTAAGAGAAATATATATTAGCTTTTTTTTGTAATAATTACCACTCCAATTGGAAAATTCATAAAAGTAGAATTTTAAATAGCTTTTTGCTGAGCAAAGGTTGTACATTAAATGTGATTTCGAAATACACTACGTGGTTCTGTCCAAAAACTTTAGAAATTCCACAAGACTAACAAAATGATAACTCACCGGATGGGCATGGCAAACCCTAGCGACGTCCTCAGCGCTCGCGCCGTACTCCATGGCAAGAACAGACTCGTTGATGAGCTCACCGGCAGCCGGTCCGATCATGTGGACGCCGAGAATTTTGTCAGTGTTTTTGTCAGCCAAACACTTGACGAATCCGTCCGTTTCGAGATTTGTCTTTGCTCGCGAGTTTGCCATGAACGGGAATTTCCCGACTTTGTAATCGATTCCTTCCTTCTTGAGATCTTCCTCTGATTTTCCTACCCAGCCGACCTCTGGATGAGTGTAAATGACACTTGGTACACAGTTGTAATCGATATGTACAGCACCTGTAAGAAAAAAACCACATAGAAAATTGTGAACTAGTGATGAACAATAAACAATTTATGTAGATAATTTGGAGAAAATAAATTACCTCCAGCAATGCCTTCAACTGTAATGATTCCTTCATCCTCAGCTTTGTGTGCCAACATTGGTCCGTGAATGCAATCACCAATAGCGTAAATGCTGTATGAAAAATATAAGGTTGTCATAATAAATACCGACAAATACAATATGTTTTTATAACTTAGGAGCTTGAAACTAACTTGGGAATAACAGTTTGGAATCTACTGTTAACAGGTATCCTTCCTTTCTCATCCCTCTCAATACCGATATCCTCCAAACCAAGGTTCGCGGTGTACGGCCTTCTGCCTATGCACACAAGCAGCACGTCACACGAGACGTTTTCTTTTTTGCTTGGATCTTTGGCGTCTTCTAGAGCTACTTGTATGTCTCCATTCGTCTTTGCTGCTGCTGTCACTTTTGTTCCTAGTTTAAATTTAAGTCCCTGTTTTGACAATATCTTTTGAAGTTCTTTGCTCAGTTCTCCGTCAATGCCAACTCCACCAATGCTAGGCATGAATTCTACAGCAGTTACATCAGCTCCAAGCCTAAATTTTATATATACATGAGTAAAATGAAAAACCAAACATACAGACTATTTTTAATTTATTGAAATACCTCTGCCATACAGAGCCTAGCTCCAGACCAATGACTCCAGCACCAATGACAATCATTTTCTTAGGAACCTGTTGGAGAGAAAGAGCGCCAGTGGACGACACAATTTGTTTCTCATCGATCTCTATTCCTGAGAATGGAGCAACTTCACTGCCAGTTGCAATGAGGATGTTTTTGGTGTTAACTGTGGCTACAGTTGAACCATCTGGACCGAGAGCAGTCACCTGGTTGGGTCCAGTTATTTTACCATGGCCCTTAACGAGTTCGATTTTGTTTTTTTTGAATAGACCAGCTATTCCACTGGTTAAGGCTTTGACAACACCAGACTTTTGTTCCATAAGTTTGGGTAAATTGAGTGACACACCAGAGACTGCAAAAATAATTTAATACTGGAGATAAAAGTTTTGAAGAAGTTTAAAAAAATTCCAACGAAATAAGTCTACGTTACCATCAACTCCTCTGTTGGCTAAGTCACCACTGTGTGCCATGTGATAATAGTGAGAGTTATTGAGTAAGGACTTGGATGGAATACAGCCCACATTCAAACAAGTTCCACCAAGTGTTGGATCTTTTTCAATGGATACTGTTTTCATTCCCAACTGGGCAGCTTTTATTGCAGCTACGTAACCCCCAGGTCCAGAACCAATGACAACAATGTCGGCATCCAGTGTACTGGCATATCTCCTCTGGTGGACAGCTGTCAGTACTGGATTCACAGCTCTTTTCATGCATAATGGCTACAAAACACAGAGTAACGTTAGCTAAACTCATCAAGTCTCTTTTGTGTTAAATGTTTTGAATTCACGACTACAAAGACATCATTTTAAAGTCTCGAGCAATCAATATTTATAAGTCATTGAAAAAAAAAATTTTTCAAATATTCTATATTATCACAATATTTTATATAAACAATAGTGTTGTTTTATGTTTGTAACTTGTAATCAACTCTTTCATTAAATACAAACAATAATCTTTCAATAAACATCATACTTGCTCAGGAGAAAAGAAAGAAAAAAATGAAACTTGTGCGTCTTATGAAACAGCCCAAGACAACATTATCATGTTTACATAAATTGACCCATCAATTTCGCAACATTAACTATAATCATTCTCAGAGACATAAAAACACAATGAGCACTCATAAGGTTGCAAAGTATTCTAGTTTAATCATTTTTTGTAACACAAAATGTGGATGATGCCAATCGGATACCTATACTTTCTGTTTAACAAAATTCGAGCAAAATTAATGCAACAACATCAAGCAACGGTACAGCAGAAGCCAACGCATTTCACTCACGCACACAAACTACACCTGCTGGCGTGTTCCAAAAAGCAAAAGTGACATAACCAAGGCAACCCCTCTCTCCACCATCCCCCCGCACTGGCTGACCTTCCCCATGCAAAACATCTCACCGAACGAGCAAAAAATGAATGAGGCAAAGTAAAAATACAAGCACAACGGAATGGCACGGCAAATAAACCACACCTACAGGTGACAGCCACGAGTATTGCCCTTCAAGCCAACCCTGAGGGAAAACGAACACCTGATCGTATGCTCAGCGCAGAGCTTTTTTTCAACTCGCGGTCTCTCACCTTCATGGACACGGCCATCAGATTGAGCAAGTTGGCCTGCATCCTAGGGCTTGTCCTTTCGGTGCTGCGTGTGCGGGTGAACGTCGATAACCTTCTCGCAGCAACAGCTGGAGCTCTCGCAATCGTCGTCGTCAGGAACAAAAAAATAAACTCTCGTGCGATAAGAAGAGGGAGGACACGGGGCGACTGAGGAAACCGATCGACCGGACGTTGTCGTCGATCGTCGAGAATGCGCGCGAGAGTTCGAGATTTGAGTATCGACTCGATATCGATACGTCCCATCGATTAATCGTGATCGAGTCTCGCGAGAAATTTTATATTAAAATTGCAATGTCCTGCCACATCCCGCAGACGTTTTGTTGGATGAAAAGGTTGCAAAAATAAGGCAAGTACTTACTAATAACCTGTTTGGTTATAAAGTTACTAGGCTTTACTTCAATTCACGTTTAGCAAAGAGCGCGACTTTTTAACCTATATGACTATCCACAAACTTGGATACTCGAGCTCGGAGCTCAATGCTAGCTCCACAGCCTGTATACTTAGTTACTCATCAATGGAAAAAGATTTTTTTTATACGAATAAAATAATGATATGTAAACAAAATTATTACTTAATTCCACAGCTCTTTCTATTTATTTATCATTTCTTGATGTTTATTAAATCCCGCGAAAGACTGGGCAACCCCGTACTCTTTGAAAGTTCGTTTGCGATCATTTTTAATTCGGATTCATATATAATCGTAGATAATTCTTATTATTTTATTTAAAATTTATCAATGATAATTAATGTTACAATTTTGTAGAATTTACACAAAAAAATCAAAACAACAATTACTTATACATACTTTGACTCGAATCATGTGTATCATCATTATGCTTCGTATCTAATTCTGGCGTGTTAGTTTCATCGTAAAAGAAATTTTGATCTTCTAGTACTGCATCAACTTCATTTTTTAATTTTGAAGTACCATTTTTATGTTCAGAGGAATTGTTAGCTTCCGTAACAAAAATAAAATTTTATGTTAAATATTACCTTCAATTTATTTTATTTTATAATTTACATTATTCAAATGGATCTTCGATTATTGCATAGTCCTGGTTACTCAGTTTTGGAGTGCCATTTTTATTTTGAGAGGATTTTCCAGCTTCCATAACTTAAACACAAGTAGGGTATATTTAAAATATAGCTTCCAATTTATAATACTATTTTAATGGTTGAAGGAAAAAAATCGCACTCGTATACCTCGATTTTCATCTTTTATGGCTGTATAGTCCTCGTCGTTCAGTTTTAGAGTGCCATTTTGATGTCGAGAGGAATTGTGAGCTTTTAGGATCGAGCTATCGTTCAGTGCGCTTGCAATCCGTTCTACGTACAATGAAATCTGAGTAAAATAGTTTTGATACCCGCAGTAAGTATACAACCCCACAAGCACAGTCTTGTTGCCGTATACTTCTGAACCAAGGGCCAGCTCCCGAGACACTGCGAATATTTCCTCATGAGATTAGCCGTTAGACTTGTTCACAATAAATATACACGCACTCGTAACATTTACATGTTTGCTGGCTATCATATTCCTGCACTTGTTGAACTTTTCTCTGTCGACTGAAAAATTTTGTTCGATACGACGAAACACTTTTGAAACGATTTTTGAAAGTTGTTCCATGAGACTCGTGGTCAACGACGCGAACTGCACAAGAGGCCAGCTTGAAAGCTCCGGTTTCAGAATAGTAAATCTGCCAACTTCCTGCTCTCGAGTTGTATTTCGTTATAAAAAATAATTTCCTTGGACAGCATTGGCGTGGAAAAATCTGTGAAATTCATCAGAAACCAATACGTTTATTTTACAGATTGTTTTTATGTTTCATTCATTATTTTATACATAGATTTATATAGTCAAGGGACAACTTTACGGTATCATTATACTTTTATTATATTTACGTGTTTACTACATACATCATGTCACTATCTACAATAACTTTTTCAAAAGCAAAAAAGCCGAAACAAGTTTGTTAACCGTATTGATGAACAAATTGAGATTCATGAATGTTTGCCAGCCTATGACTATCCGTAACGGCTTCTGTGCCCGACGCATGGCAAAACACAACAATTTCAGAGTCTTCGGATCTTCCAAGGTGTTGTCCAGACTGTACATCTTGATGGCTTTTTCTACACCCAAGCTCGCATTCATCAGCATCTCGCCCACGAAGCAGATCATTAACAGCGAAAACGTTAGTATTATCGTCACTGAGAGGGTCTTGATGAACACAACTGTGCTTTTCGTCTATAAATGTATAAAATCAGGGATGTACAGCAGGTTATAAGGTTTAAAAAAATTAATACAATAAAATGTTAATCGTGAAAAAAATGAATAAGCGCTTATAGCCCGCAAAAATCTGTGCAGTTTTTAGGATCCAATACCACTATTTTTACCGCGTAGGTGATACTGTTTCATAATACTTATATTTTCCAATACGCCACACACTTTACTAGTAAGACTCTCGATAATGGAATGCCAAATCATGACAAATGTGAAACTATTACTTATTGAACATGGCAGTATTACAAGTTTAGAAATTATGTAAGAAAATTACTGTTAGCAATAATGACCCAAAAAATCACGCTTAACAACTACGTTTAACTTACTCTGATTATGGTGATTCCAGCGAAGCATAAAAATATCGATGTCGCCAGGTACTGCAAAAGAAAAACTGACGACAATACGTAACACAGTTTATCCCCGTAGTTCAATGCGACCGCGTGTTCACGTAACGCTCGTTTAATTCCACTTCCGTTATTTTTATTGGTGCCCAATTCTTTCATTAACAATTGGACAAGTTCAAGCTTGGCGCATAGCTGGCACATCAAGGTTATCGACAAAGCTTCGCAAGATATAATGCCGCTCACTGATACAATCAGGCTAATGCATTCGATTTCGTATACCATGTAGTACCTGTTAAAAAATTGCTCATCTAAATGTCGTTTTACCATTCCCTAACTTATTTTCATACGTTTGTATATTGTTTTGAGATTTTGATTCCATGAGTTGATTGCGTATCAATTACAAGTGTGCACGATACTTTTTTTTCGACTTAAAATAAGATTATTACATATATACATCATACTAGGTTTAAAAATTAACAAATTTTGTACTCCGTTTAACGTATTCAGTTGTTTGAAATTGAAAAAATTTTGCAAATTAAATATTAGTAGTTGTTTTTTGAGCCAGTCTCGACTTTGGTCTCGATTCAGTTTGTTGTAACCATACAAATCGTGAAAACATTTGAATCGTACTTTAAACTTGTAAAATATCTATTTTAAATTTTGAAAAAGTCTTGTGCACGGAGTCAATTTTACCATGGCTTCTTGTAGACCCACGCAGGCAGAATACCTTGTAGTGGCAATGGCTTATTGTCTGCCATCATGGGAGTGGACATGTATAAAAATAAGTTAAATATGTATGCCCACTTGCACGTTTGTGTTCCAATATTTTGGTAGTTCTTCCATCGGTTGGATATCTCTAATTCCTGGTGACTCATCGTCGACTGAGATTGACGAGTATCTTTCGTTGCGTAAATTAAATCCAACATATTTTCTCTGAACATAGGGACAAATAAAACATAATTACGAAAGAAAAAGAAGAAATTCACTATTCTTATAATTTAGATCACAAATTTATTTGTTTTGTGTGCATATGGACCTACTTTCTTCGAAAACTATTACTATGAAGTTTATTTGATAAAACTCAAAGCCATATCTTGATGATCAGCACATATGGACCACAATAACAATGGAAGTACCACATTGTGAGGCTACCGATACTTGCAACAACTGACTGTTTGATTATGTGTATCGTGTATATTTTTCGGATTTATGCAAATAATATTAAAAACAGTGTCTCTTTAGAAACAAAAGTATTTTAGCACAATACAAAATGAAAGTGTACACAGAACAAAATATCCATCGAAAGATGGATCCCTTAATGTTAGTGCACGTAAAAAATGTTTGTGTGGAGTAAAAAAGGACAACTAGGAAATCAAAAATAAGGATACGATGATTAAAATTGGAAGAGATAAGCGGAAATTACTGTAAAAATATAACAAAAACTAATGAGCAATAACAAACAATTTCCTAAACGAAAAGATGAGAACAATAATTAAGCAGAAAATTTAATTAATCGGTAAATTTAGATTTAAAGATTTAAAACTAGAATTGAATTGTATAAAGTAATTAAAATAACAAAATACCAACCTTAGTAGTACGTAGGGTACTATTTTACAGACTGCTAGTAATGATGTCATCCCCTCAATTATATAACTGTACATGTAAACGCACTTATTTATTCAATACACGTAAAAACGGCAACTAAAAAAAAATAAATAAAACATAAAGCAAAGTTCTTACTCTGGCAGCTCATCGGGATCCTTTATCTTCACCAAAATGGAATTTTGAAACAAATAGGTCGCAATAATGTTAATTAAAAAAGTGCTACTTTTAATAAGACTGTATCTACCAAGTGGCTGATCTTCCTCTGGCCAAATACCTACTATTCGATGCCAAAAGACAGTGCTCTCAAACTCCAAAAATTCGGTATCCTTACTTAAGATACCCATAGTTTTACACTATTTTTCGTTCAAAAACTCTTCTTTCTTTTTTAAAAATAAATATAATTTAAGACCAAAGTAGTGCTAAAACATATTGAAATTTTTATAATCTACTTGTAGTTTAGTGGTTAGTTATGGCATAAAAGTGCAGGAGAAAGAAAAATGTACACGTTTTTCACCGATACATTGAAAGCAACCGTTGAAGAGAAAAAAAACAAGTGGCTAAATTTAGAAAATAATCTACATTCTGCATTTGAAGCACATCTGATACGTTTATCACTATATAACAGAGTTCAACTATACTTTCAAAACTATTCTGCATGAAAAACTTTTTTTGTTGGATAAATGTTATTTCTAAGTTTTGTGTTCGAAACGTTTACCTGCAATGTCACGTAAAAACGTTATCTGCTGTATATCATTTTTTTTTTTTTGTGTGCGTTATGTACACGTAAAATTACAAACAAACTGAAACTGATTTCGAAGGTTTTCATGAAAAAAATTTTTCATGTGTTAGAGCATTCTAATGGCATTATAAGAATTGCTTTTTTTTTCAAGATCTTAAAATTTTGCATTTAATGCTTTGTT